ATTTTTTTTTTCCTTCCTTTTTTTTTTTTAAATTTTTCAAACTCAAAATAATAACAGTCATTCTTAATTTTTTAGAATTTCGAATCACAATCAAATTGTTTCGAGATCTCGATCGATCTTAATATAATGCTGAAAATTTTCATTAAAGGATTTTCTATTATTACCAATAAGAAAGCACGGTGTTAAAAGGTGGAAAGTTCCTTCGAGTTTCTTTCGTTTGCAGAAAAGGAGGGGGAATTGCACGTTCGATAGAGGAGATCTTGTGCGAGAAAAAAAAGTTTGTAACTTTATCATTGATGTAAATCGTTTAAAGCCAAGTAGCATGAAGGAAGAAGGATGAAATTTCCCAGCAGAAACTTTCAGAGGGATTGGAATCAAGAGTGTAATTGAGTTTATACGCTTGAATTATTATTGATATTGCGAAAATTAGAGGTAATGAAGTATTAAATTGAGGGAAATTGGAATTTTATAAAATGATTAAATCGTGTTAAGTCGAATGAAATTGCGTTAAAGGATTTTCTTTTATCTTCGAGAGAGACGAAACCAACTGTGTATTCCTTCACATCTATATTATTATATTCACCATTTTCTCGAGTGGAAAATATCATCACTGATACCATTTCTCCTTTGAGAAACTTTCAAATATTCCATTCGAGAACGCGACAACAATCTTTGCTTCGATTTACAACATCTCAATTTTGAATTACACCAACATTTGAAAACACATTTGCACATTTGTGTTGTCCATTTCCATTTCCATTGTAAAAAAAAAAATTACTAATAAAAAAAGACCTTGACCTAGACGACTCAGATTTATAGCTCCATTTACCAAGTGTGTATATCCTCCAATGCTACAGTAAAAAAAAAGCGACCTCTTTAAATAAATATTTTATAGCACATGTAAGTTGAAAATATTACTTTCAACGACTTACAATTTCGAATATATCTCAATATACTAATCTTAAAAACATTATACTTTCTCATTTATGATAATCACAATAATCTTATAATCTCAACCCCTCCAAACTATTATCAGTAAAAAGAAATCTTGATTCATAATTCAGACTCATGATTCCATCAAATATGCATTCATTCTAAATACAAAGAAATAATATTCTTTTTAACATTTTACATTACATCCAAATTAAAAATACTATTTTCAACGATTTACAACTTTACAATCTGTAAAATTTCAATTACACAAATCCTAAAAATATTATTTCTCCTCTAAATTCAACAATCTTAATAAAAAGAAAGCTTCTCTTACAATTCAGATTCATGACTCCACCAAATGTGTATTTACCTCAAATACAAAGATCTTTTTAAACATATTACATTATATGTTAACAAATTAAAAACACTATTTTCAATATTTACAATCACATTTTACTATCACATCTGCAAAATTACACAAATCCTAAAAATACTTTCTCCTCTACAACAATCTCAATAGCAATAAAAAGAAAGTTTATCTTACAATTCAGATTCATGACTCCATCAAATGTGTATTTATCTCAAATTACCACAAAGATCTTTTTAAACGAACATTTTACATTACATCCAAATTGAAAACACTATTTTAAACGATTCACAATCACATCTAGAAAATTTCAATTACACAAAACATATAAAAATACTATACTTTACTGCTCTTCAATATCATCACTCATGACCCTACAATCTCGACCATCTTAAACCATTATGGTGGAAATCTTGGAGCTCATTGTCAGATTCACATTCCGCCCCCTAAACGTGCATCCACTCTTGAAACGACGAAGACCCTCTCATTCTCTCGCCCGTTGAATAGACATTCTGTCGCGGACGTATATAGTCGAAATTACTACTTTCAGTAGTATAAACAACGTTGCGGCGCGTCGCAACGTTGCAACGTTGTGTTGCGTTGCGCCGTGGAGAGGAGAAATGCGAGGAAAAGAAGAACGGGGCGAGGAGGGAGAGGGGGGAAGGAGGGAGAGGGGGGAAGGAGAAAAAAGTAGCTGGTTAAAGTTTCTCGAGATAAACGATGGCCGTAAGCGAGGAGGATATTACGCGCGAAAAGACAGTCGGGTGTTGAACGACCTAGAAATGGTTCACCATCTGCGTCAACGCGGAGAATAACCGTTTAAACGAGATAGTAGGCGGCCACTTTAAGGCTGGCTGTAAAAAAAACAGATCGACCAACGCGTCTTCCAACACGGGTCACGGAGTGGTGGCAGAGCGTTATTTTAGAATTAAGGGCAACTGTCGATGCAGGCAATCGTATATACGCAAGGCTGGGTGCACAGCCGGAAAAACAAAATTTTTCGGTCGGTAAGAGAGTGTTTTTCGAGAGTGTTTTCGTTAGCGTGAGTGTAACGTAACAGGAAATGGTTTAATGGGATTTCTTGGTGTGGGTGTGGATGATTCGTGATCGTTTTTGGAGGAGAGCGCGAAGATGTGGAGAAGCTTGAGAGTTCTTGAGAGATGAATAATACAGATTCGATGCGATTTGATCAAATATCGAAGAGAGTTTCTTCGGTTCACGGATGAATGAATTTTTGATTTAAATGTAATAATGAAATTGGAAATGATTATTCATACTGTGTCAATCGCAATACTTGTATTATATACTTGTATTATAAAAAAAAAAAAAAAAGGAAGATAAAAGTGAAAAATAATCTTTTTCATCTTTTCACGTTGCTCGCATTGAATGTGTTAATAATCTTATAGATATAGATATAATAAATTAATGATTGTTTGATTTGAAAGTGGGATGTTGATTTTGGGAAAAAAGATATGAGTTTTTCTCGAGAAATGTGATTTGAATAACACGTTCAATGCGGCAAAATTGAATCGATTTTCGATAAGGTACATGGATTTTTGATTATGCTCAAGAAATAATGATAAGATGGTGAAAAATATAATGAATATAATATGTAGCAATGACAATATTTGTATTGAATGCAAATGCAAAAGTTGGATATTTAGAAAATATTTTATTTTTATATTTTCTGCATTGAATATATTAATAAAATTTCTTAGTGTATACGTGGATGACTATGATTGGATTGTTAGTTTTGTAGAATAGATAGAAATGGAAGAAATAAAAAGAGAAGTTTTTGAAGGATCTGAGATGATTAAGCATTTTCTCTGGCAATGATTTTAATCAACGATTTAAAAGGAAGATTTTTTTTAATATTTTTTTTGTGATATTGATAATCTAACGATAAATATTCTTTTATCGATTCAATAATATTGTTATAAATATAATGAAGTAATAAAATAACGAAAAGTAGGATTTATTATTGTATGAAAATAATTTATTGGAAATAAAATGTTGATTAAATTGATATTGAAGGATAATGTGGAGAAAGATAACTTGAATTATGTGGGATTGGATATTAGTTATTTTCTATGATTGCCAATCATTGGTTGAAAATTGGAAGAGACTTTTTCGTGTTATCTGTACCGTCGATGGCCTACGATAGATATTGCTTCAAATCCCTTGCGACAAATAACATTTCTGGCATATCATGCGATTCCTATGCTAACATTTCGGTTTTTTGAAATTTTATCAGAGTTCTTCTCTGCCGAATATGCAAATTGTTTCGATATATTCTAATTGAGATATAAATTTAGATAAAAAATTTGTAAATTTCACGTTATTTCGAGAATCTGTATTAATTGAATATTTTAATTGCGGTATTTCATATCGTAGAAGTGAATAAAACCAACTTATACAGGATGTTGTTACAATGAAGCACACTATGTCAACGATATCTTGTAGAATGAAAATTTTAATAAAGTTTCAAGACTAAATCTCTTTTAACAAGTTTCTAAAGTGCGTTGTATGTATGGTGATGTACATTTTGAAAATGTTAGATACTATCTTTATCACTTTCACAAGATTACTGAAATTATTTTTAATATGAATTTAAATTTTAAATATTTATATTTAAATATTACAAACTTATATTTAATAAAATACTGAATAATTGTAACAAAATAATATTTATAGAATAAAATATTATTTAAATGACAATATTAACTTTCTTGCAAACAAATAAATTGTGATACACGGTAGAAATTCAAACGAACTTTTCCGCGTGAATTTATTGCTTTTTGAACAAAACAGTCAGTAAAATTAAATTAACAATTGTTCGCAATACGGGCAAAAAACAATTTCGCAAGGTTTTTGTTCGAGGATTTTCTTTATGGTACGAGCTCCATCTCGTTATCAAAGGTTAACGAGTCGGAATCTTAAAAACATCACGATAAAATGTTGAAACGAATGCAAAAAATGCTTTGATCCGCTTTTTATATCTTTTATGTTGTGATTTGAATATCATTCAGATTTTACATTTAAATCGAATATCATTTGTGATTGAAATATGATTAATATGAAATATAGTTAATATGAAATTATTTGAAAGATTAGATTTAAAATCAAAAAATTGATAAAGTAACCTCGAATGCATAAATATGTATAAATGTATATATTATATGTCATCATACTTCACAGTAAATACACAAGGTTTCAACCTTCAACTTATTGACATATTCTCAAGGTCATTTTTGATATACAAAAAAATTGAAGACTCCATTTTATAAAATACAAAATAATCATGTTAGAATCGTGTTTTTTCCCCTTGAATTTGTGCATTTTTTACAGGAACATTTTTTTTAATCAAATTAAAAAGTTGATCCCTTTTCTTATATTCTATAAATAATATATCTATAAAATTCTAAACTGCATATAAATATTATGTATATATTTATATAATATATCACAATTTCTCAAATAGTTCTTAATTAAACAAAAATTTTTAAAAGATACCAAAATGTTCAAAAGTATTCATTCAATCAATTATTCAACAAATACTAATATAATAATATATAATCGCCATTATATTGGCCGCCATTAATTTTTATTTACGCAATTTAATTTCGCTATGTATAAAATAAATTAGTGAGGAAATCAATTACTAAAAAAAAAAAGTAATAAAATAAAATTAATATCATACCTTCGAAACGAAGTATACGTAGAACTTGTTGATTCTTTTCTGGAAGTAAATTTCGACGATTCTTTCTCGACAGTATTCTTTGAAAGATTTATCACCACTATATTTAAAATGAATACCGAACAATTTCAAGATACATTTTGCAAAATCGATGAAACGATAAAATCATCTTTGACCCTTTCAGCGTCGGCAAACAATTTCCACTGAAACTATCAGTCGCCGGCAAAATTTGAAAATTGCCGATCTTGATTGACTAACTATTCCCGTCAGTTATGAAACGCAATCTGCCAATCAGTTTCTCCCGCGTCCCTCCTTGTACACTAATACGAGTTATCCACAAGTAATACTGGGCTACGTTACATTTCCAGGAACTTCTACGACCTTTAAGCTTTATTTAGAACTTTTAGTGTCTGGAGAATTCATTGCACAAATCTCTACACACGTTTCGATCATGAAATCGTTCAAAAAACCGAATACTCAAACACGACACGCATACCGCGTAGATAATCGTATTTTGACTGGTATACTTTCAAATTTTCTGATGTATCATCGATAGTGGCGCCCTTCGATACGATAACGATCTTCGGTATCGTATTATTCTCGACTGTCGAACTATTCAATTATGCAACAGATTTTAAAATGTGTTTTGAACCATCACGCTGTCTTTTTCTTCACTTTAAAATTATTTTACTTCTTTCTTGAAAATTATTCACAAATTTGAAAAAAATATATATTTTTCCTTTTTTTAAAAATTTTAAAATACTAAGATATTACGATAGCAATGGTGTTTCATATACTATTTACGTATAATTTGCATTGTCTGGAGTAGCTTCCAACGAAAGACTTATCTTTGCCAAATATTAACATTGTCAACAATCTTTGCTTTATTTTGAGATAGGGTCGAATCAAAAAGACAATGTTTTTCAGATAACCTTAATTATATTGCAATATTAAAACTGTAATTAACAGAAAATTATTTAAAATTATTAATTTGATAAAATGTTGTTAAAATCAAAATATTTGCAAATATTATTGTAATATTTAAAACATAACTTGACATTATAAAATAACTTATTTTAATAAATCTTTTTTAAATAATTATTTGTAAGTAAATGAAATTTATAAATAAAATTTACACAAAAAGATTTGAAAAATGGATAATTTGTTATATTTTTAAAATTATTATACAAAAACAGAAATTGGAGTATTACATTCAATATGCTTAAAAATACATAATTAAGCAGAAAAAAAAATTATAAATATGTTATTTAAGATCTTATATATGCATTATCTACAAAGATAATAATTTTTTTTTATCTAACAAAAAACAATGACACTTTTTTGTTTCTTATTATTACAGAATCAAGATAATATTTTATTTTATATTTATAAAATATATTTATAAATAAAAAATTAATTTCATTGGTATTTCTTCGATTTAATTTTACGCATTCTTGTTTTTTTAAACTAAGTAAATTATGTTAACTAAATATTTTATTAAATATTCTCAGCATTTTTTTTTTTTATAATAACTATTAAACTTATCTATATGCACATAAGGCACACAAATTGTTATATTATTAATTATTATATTATTAATGTTATATCATATTTAGTGAGAATAGACATATTAATTTTTCTAAGTATGAAAATGTTTAATAACAAAATTTTAATTTTATTACACATATCTGATAAATATTTACTTTACATACTACACAAGAATAACGTATTTTCTATCAGAAGAAACTTACTATAAAAATATAAGATGCAAAATTACTATAATACATATAATATACTCTAATATGTTAAATAATTTTTAATCTATTTAAATATAGTCCTCTTCAAGTTCAATACTTCTGTACATTATTAACAGAATTACCTCTCTGAGGATAAGTACAAACTAACAAAATTTCTTTAATATATACGTTCTGTACTCAGAACATGTTATCATTGTGTCAATCAAATTATAACACAATAATTGCTCATTCTGAATCAAACAAATATTTTTTCCTATTTAATAAATATTCGTTGCTGAAACATGTTGCATTTCAATATTTCTTTTCATAATTTGTTTATAAATTTTTGCAATAAACAAAAAATTAAAATATCCACTATCATGGTTTGTGCACATCATCTTGTATTTCATTTTCAACTTCGTCGTTACATATGTACATTGAATCCGAAGTATTTGTACCTAAAACAAAATATATTTATAAATGTGTGTCAACAATATGTAATTCTTTTCTCCTTTAAGACTGACAATATCATATTTTTAACATCATTTAAATTTATCTGAAAATATATTTTTTTCTTTTAAAGTTTATTTATAATAAATTTGACATAAACACATATTGTAAAGCAAATACAATCAGTAATTTTAATAAAAAATTTAATTAATATATTATTATGCTATACAAAAAATAAATTTGATGAAACATGTAATGCCAGAAAATTTTAAATATTGATATATCTTGAGAATTAAAACTAATGTATGAAAATTGATATGTCTCAATTTTTTTTTTAAATATTCATTGTGATACTTTTATATTTATTTCAAATTCTTTTCTTTAGAATCTGAAACATTTGATATAATTATTAACATAATATTCATTCAATTAATATTTGTCTTATTTTTCTTCTAACAGATAAATATATAAATTGCTACAAAATTTATTATAAAATTTATATTGAAATGAAAATGAGAAATGATATTATGATCTAACAACAACAAAAATACTACTACATGTTAGTGTTCTTTGTTACATATTCTAAACAGATACTATTGTCAATAGCACCTTACATGCAATTATTTATCATGCAAAAGAAACAAGACATATTTATATATATATTGTATTTGTGCAATATAAATTGTGTAGAAAATTTTTTCTTAGTAGGCAAGCTTCATCAGTTTTTATAGTATATAAATTATAATGTTAAATTTCAAATATTGCAATTATTAATAAAATATAAGTATTACCATTGAAATTCCTAAGTAGCATTGAAATTGAATTAAAAAATGAATAATACTTAAGATAAAAACATAAGAATGAATAATCACATATGGAATCCTTATCAAAATAAGACTGAATAAAACTAAATAAAATCGAGGAATATAAGAAAATTATGGCAAAAGTCAAGAAGAAACAAAAAAAAAATATATATTCGATAATCAATTTAAATTATTAATTGTAATTTATAATATTTATTAAATTTATTTATTTTATCAATTATCTAAATTAAGATAAAATTAAATTGGAACTGATTAATTTTGAAATAAAATTCAATTAAAATATCCAAAAAAATAATTACTTTTAATTTTACTAATTAATAAAAAAAATTTATAATTCATTTTATATTTATATAAAATTATTCTTTTATTAAAATGAAGAAAAATTGTATATATTAAATATAATAAATAAAAATTGTTACAATTTCTATTTTTTATTTTAAATATTGTAATAATTTTCAGATATAAACTGATTATCGTATGAAATAAAAAAAAGATTTGAAATCATTAAAATAAATTATGTACCAGATTTACAGCACACTATCAGGAAAGGCCCAGTGATGTGATTTATAAACACGTTGATTCAGCTTGCCCATTATTCTTAGAATCTAGATACTTCTCTGCAAGAAAGATGTATGCATATTACATAAAATAAACTTCATATTGATTTCATATTAAACCACGTGGAATACTGTAAGTTGAATATATATATATATATATAATAAATTGAATCCATAGGAAATGTCAAACAATGAAAACATAAAATACATACAAGAACAAAATATTATAAAGTATGAAATTTACAACTAAAACATAAAGTATTAAACCAAAAATTATTTTAAAATATATTTTTATAAACAATTTTTCTATGTTTGCCTATACTACATTAACAATATTTTTTAACACATTAAGTCCCGTAATATTAATGATTAAATGGAAAAATAAACTAAAGAGGAAAATGTGCTTTTTATTAATAATTTAACAAAGCTGTCACCTTTCAAAAAATTATATTAGATAAATAATATTTCATAAAAATATAAAATCGAATTGTAATGATATAAATAAATTATTTAAGTTTAAAAATTTGCATACTTTCAAAGAAATTATACTTAAAAAACTGTCAACTTTAACAAGTTAAGCGCCTTTGATTTCCAAAAAAATAATTGTTTTAGAACAAAGGGACAACTTTGTATCATTCTCCTTCATATTTTATAAATCATATATTTTATTTTTGGAAATATTAAATGAATAAAATTTTTCTACACATTTTTAATTTCAAACATATAACAAGTTTTATAATTATATTTATTAAACAATTTCGAGCGCTTAACGTGTTAAAAAAAATTAAATTGTAACATTTCCTTACTTTTCGCCTCTGTCCATTTAACGCCAAACTTGCAAATAATTCATGCACTGTGCAAAAATAATTATATTATAATCATATATAAATTATTATTTTATTTATATATTTATTTGAAATATAAAAAATTAATACAACTTTATTAGTGACAGCTCTTAATAGAGACAAATTAAATGCAACGTTTTCCTCTGTAGAATATAAATAATAAATGATTAAATAATAAAAAATATGTTTTTAATCTTATGATTTGGTAATAAATAATTATTAATATGATTCATCAATAACACGTATATCTTGCAGCTAATATATTATAAGTAATAAACGTTATTTTTTAGTTAAAATCTCCGCATTATTCTTGCGAAAAGAGTTTCCAATACAAAGCAATGAAAAACTTTTTAAAAGAATTATAAAACTTGTACTAACTTGTGTGTGTACATACATATACATCAAACATTAAGCTGATTAGTAAGTTTTCATACAAACATGCAAATAAGATGCTAAGACAAAGTTTCTTTTTTTTACGTACTTGAATCCTACTTCACTTACCTGCAATTACAAGATCAACTAATGCTTTATCCTTTTGTATATACAAAGCTGTAATGAAGAAAAATAAGCTGCCAAGCACTGCTACAAACATTGTAAGAAACAATGCATATTGCAAGCTACGAAATTCGAGAAGTATATCGTCCTGATTTATTATATTTATCATTCCAGCATCAATATATTTTATATATAGTTCTGAAAGAAGAACTGTTTTCAGTCCTTCTGATAACTGCAAACAATCAATAAAAATATGAAATTTATTAATAATAATAAAAGATAATATATAAAATAGAACAAAATGTGAAAATATATTACATTATTTATGAAATTATTGAACAATATAAAAAAAATTTAATATACATTTTAGATATAAGATATTTACCAAACCAATAAGATATGGACTTCCTGCATCTCCAAAGGCATGTGCAATGAGTATTTGAAATGCTTCAGCTGTAGATCTTCTTGTTGGTATCACTACATACTATATTAAAAAAATATAATTTAATTTATAAATTATAATTATAATTAATATATTAAAAAAATATAATTAAAAATATGTTAATTTAATTTAGAAATATATAAAATTGAAAATAAATATCATACCAATAATATATCTGCTACAATAGACCAATTTAAGTTTAATGATAATTGTCCAAAGAATATTAATATATAACATAATATAGAATTTGTATTGGCAGTTAAAGATGCAAAGAACAATAATGGAACACTAATTAAAAGTCCCATAGCACATATTAAAGGATCAGCTTGCTGCCAGTGTACTCTTAATTTTTGAGCCAAAAATGAACCAAGTGGAACTCCTATTAAACCAGCTACCATTCCTATTAATCCAAATTTATATGCTACACTGAAATAATTACAAATAGAAGTTATAATTATATTTAGAAATTATTTCTGAAAATATAATTACTTATTTTAAATATATAAAAAATAAAATAAAAACATACTCATCTGGATCAACATTGTGTCCATTAGGATGTAATGTAAATCCCAATTGTAAAAATGTTGGTGCCCACCAAGCTAATGCTCCCGCAACAAAAGCTACACATGTGAAACCAGCAGAAGAAAGCATAAAACTTCGACTAAAACATATATATATAAGTAATAGCAATGTAAACAACTATAAATATATAAATAGTTACTTTAATATTTACTTTTTTAATAATGCCTTGATATCATTTGACCATGCAGTATTTGATAAGTGAACTCCACCTTCTCTTTCTCCTCTAATAGGATCTCTTACTATTGCAAGCAATAAAATAATTGCTAATAAACCAAATATAGGGGTAATACGTAAACCCCATTGCCATGCACCAGTAGTTCTTGCTGCTTCACCACCTATTATATATCCTAAGCCACTAAAAGATAAATTATATGTAAATTTATATATTAAATTTAAAACAATTATATTTCTTTTCTTTTTTATTTTTGTTTATTATTTAACAACTAGCATATTATAATATTAATATCAATAAGATTTAAATTTACCTTCCAACAGGTATTGCAAAATAAAATAATGCAAGCATTTTAGAACGCACATCTTTTACAAATAAATCACTAATTATTGTTGGTGCAATTGTGGAATAACTAGCCTCTCCTATACCAACAAGAGCCCTGAACAAGAGAAACCATCCAAATGACTGAAAAAAATTTTATTTTACATATTATAAAAAATTACTTTATTAATTATTTTATCTTTAATTTTTATTTATGAACTTTTATTTACTTTCATGTATGAACCAACAAATGTTGTCAAACACCATAAAAACACACCACTACTCATTATAACTTTTCTATTATAACGATCTCCCAAATATCCAAATAATGGTGCAAACACCATATAACTTAAAATAAATGCAGTTTGAAGTAATCCAGATTTATCATTAGTAATTTTAAAATCATTTTTTATTTCTGTCAATACTCCTACAACATTATACATAAATTTTTATTGATTTTATTCAATATATAACTTTACTGTATAAGCATAACTTTATCACATTGAAATAAAATAATACACACCAGCGACTGTAAAACGGTCCATATAGTTTAATAAATTAACGAAACACAACACTCCGACTGTAAACCAGTCGGTTCTGTTAATCATTCTCATTTCCGAAAACATTACGTTTTTTATTCGTCTCTCTCTAGATGTATTTTGAGCATTTTCAGCATTTACCATATGATATTCATACGTCGATACATTTGGAATTGATCCTTCATCGACCATGACTTAACAAATTTGTATTCGTGCCAATTATTATTTACATTGACACGAATATGTTCTTTTTATAAAAATATTTTAACCTTCTTGTATCGTGGCATGACCTTAAGCAGATTCCAATTTACGCTATAACAAATTTTCTTATATTGAAGTAACATTATTCACATAACGATACATTTTCACGATTTACTTATAAAACTGATACACAATTTACAAAGTATATGTTTAAATTATATTCTACATCTATTTAAGTCATATGACAACGTCACATCGAAAGATTCATGCTTGCGTCATTTACATGCAATGTCGACAACTATGAAAATTTAATATTTTAATATTTATTATTATTTTACGATATTATATATGCTTGAAATCTTATTGAATATATTGCAAAAGATATTGTTTTAGTATTAGTATTCTTATTTGATAATATAGTGTTATTTCAAAAACAGTTTACATTTTTGTCCAGAAACATATGTATAGGAATTTTATTTTTTAAACTAGTCAAAAAGAAAAATTATTTTTATAAATATTGAATAATAATTGAATTGCTTTTATTTTATGATTGTATATGTGTTATTTAATGTATCTTTTATATATTAAAAAAATTATTATGTAAAAAATGTATTCAATATGTTTATTAATCTATAACTTCTTTTATGCAGCAATGTATGTATATACATTTATATACACTGCATATCTATATAATATATATACAATTATTTTGTATGAAGTGTCATTGTAATTTCAATCAAAAAAAAAAAAAAAATACAATATATATAAAAAATAATATATATATATATAATTAAATATATAAATATAATTGTAAAATAAACTATTATTCAAGATATTTTTAGTAATTTATACATAACATACTAAAATATAAAATATAAAAATAAAATATAAATTTTATTATAAATAGAATATTATAATTACATAAATGAATAATAAAAGCAACAATAACAAATATTTTTCTTCAAATCAAGAACATAGCCTTTATTTTAAAAGATACTTCTCTAATTCTTTTTTTGCTTTTAAAATACAATTATCATATACAAGTATACAATGCTATAATTATCATGAAACACATTTATTAATTATCCACTTCTTACGAGCGTATTTATTATGAAGGAACATATTTTCTTTAAATGTGATTCATTGATTGCAGTTGTTTAATTATTTACGTAAAACAAGCCATTTCAATCGCATATCTTAAATATCATTTGTCCATATTACAAGTGATTACTATTCTCAATTATATTAAGATAACTTAATGATCACGAATATCTTAAAAATTATTTAAGTAATATTATGTAACAATGTAAAAGGTGTAAATGGTGAAAAACAATAATGCAGAAGAATTCATAATAACATATATTCTATATAACACAATACTTACATAGGTATATCTATGTATATATTTTTGAATTGGTATATATGTAAACATATATATATATATGTATAATAATGATATATTATTACATATATAATATATATGTAATAATTAATAAAATATAATGTTTAATAATATTAATCGTATATGACTATAATATATTATTATCTTGCTCCTCATCATCGTCATCGTCGTCGTCGCCGATTAATCAGCTACTTTCTACCGTTTATATTGATTTTTATATATAATAACAATGATCTCAAAAGGCTTATACAATATTCGGCTAGCATATGGATAGCTTGAGATTTTTATTTGTCATTAAATATTTATATTTTTATAGCACATGATAAATTCATTTCTTAAAACTTACAATGTCTTATTCTTTTTTTTTTTTTATTTATCTGTGCTTATTCCTATGTTGCAAATATATTTTCATTCTTATCACTGCATTATGTTTGATACAATATAAATACAAGTTTAAATACAGCTTTCTCTCTTATATTGAAGCGCACTTTTAACGCACTATATATATAAATATATATATATATTGATTTTTATGATTTCATTTTGCGAAATATTTTTATCCATATTTTTGAAGATTAATTACTTCATTGTTATTAGTACTTCATTGTTATAGTACAGTTCTCGCAACAAATTAATTATTTAATGTTTAATAACTAAAAATTTTTTTTAATATTTGCATAATTGTATCAAATAATTTTTTCCTTATATATCATAAATTTAAATAATATGAGATACGCAATCAGTGCGATCAATTATTTTATTAATTTAATCAAAGTATCAAATACGACATTATAAAATTGATTAAATACATATTTTTAATACTTTAGGAATGATTGAAAAAATTGAACTTTATGATACTATTTCAACATGTTTCGTGATTTGATATACCCTGTTACAAAATTGCAAGTTCGAAATATCAATAAAAACAAAGATAACGAATAGAAGCAAATGAGCGAATGAATAAAAGAAACAAAACAATAATAATTAAAAAGTTTAATTAAATTCGAAATAATAAAATATTAGATTAATATACGATATAATAAATCGAAATAAATTACGATCATTGTTTAAATGTTTAATTATTTTTTTTTATCTATCTCTACATTATGTCATTATTACTTAAAGCATATCTTTAATAAATATATGCTTAAATCTGTAAAACAACCTTCATTATACGTAAGTCCCCGAATGAATCTTTGTTGAATTACCAGACGTAATGACGACGTTAACGATGAAGTCACTATGTGAATTCACTTTCTATGCTTGTGATTGCCTCGACAACCACACAATTCTCGATAGTTGTGTGAAAATAACAAAAAAATGTCTTTCGTTTAGCATTTTTCAGCACGCAGAATTGTTCCATGATTTAGGGTTAGGCCCGTTACTGCAAAAAGAAATTGCATTATCGAAACGGACGCGTTCATGTGTTTCAGTGTGTCTAATTTGTCGAAAGAGCATATTATCGACATAGACATGGTACAATTTGTAATTTAGCCCGGGTAACAAAAACGATTCGTCGAATAATGAATACCGTAGGTGTTCCAGCAGCATGAAAGGCCATATCGCATGATGCGACGCCAATGCTTCTACTATTTGTCCCTTCTTCTTTGTGCTGGATTTCGTTGACACGCATCGAAAAGAGGGCGCGTATAAAAACACAGGATACCTATTGCTATTAGTGTATTGCGAATATAGATTTCGACTCTTGAGTTTTTCGATTGGTCGACTTATAGTGTTGATAATTCATTATCGTCATGAATATCTATATTGATATTTCGTCGTTCGAATCATTTGAATTATCATCATGAATTATCTTTGTTTCTTTTTTCCTCAAATTGGACGATTATATATTGAGAAAATTTCTTAAAAATGGTTTCACATTAAATATTTGTACAATAGTATTGGTAG